TTGCGCTTCTGGTACAGTGTTGTGGCAGGTCAAGTGTTTCAAACATAAATTTAGGAGAACATTTACATCTTCTTAAAGGAAGAATTCTGGTACCATGGTCATAGCCAGGGGGTGCGAAAAAGAAAATAGCAATTTTGTAAAAATTGTTGAAAAAACATTAACAAATTATAATTTGAAATGCCTAGATTGCACCATATACAATGTAAATTTTAAAAAAATTACAGGGGTGAACCCCCAAAACGACAATTTTTAGGGCTTGCTTCGCACACAGTGATGTGTGTTTAAAAAAGGGTATGGTAAATCAGAATCAGAATATGTCATACTTATTACTTACCAATAATTTTGGTCCTACCAATCAATAATAATTACCCCAGTCTAATCCAACCAATCAACCATTAACCCTATCAATCAAGGAAGGTCTATCAAGTAAGATAAAATCATTTTTCTCAACCTCAAATATCAGGAAGTTACATATACATGTACTTATAACACTGAGCAAAACATGGTAGGGTAATGTCATAAAATCTTTTATATTAAAAAATGATTTTCATTGATTTAACTAAAAACATATCTTTCAACTTTTCACCCTCATTTATCTTGTCCCTCATAACTCAGAGTAACCTGAATTAACCCTTCATCTTATTTATTTCTGGGTACATTCATCACACAGGAATTCAGGGGTTAAAGGGTTAACTATGCTCTGTTTTAGAACATGGGGTAAAACACGACTTGTGCCTACTGTAAATCAGGCTAATATTGTTGATTTACTAATGTTTATTTCGCTAATGAAAACACCCTATTCAGCTTTAATGGTCTGTTCATACATTGCAAAAGGAATTGATACAAAAGATATGATTGTATCTGTCCCCGACATACTCGTACTCGAACCATTATGGTGAAATATTGAGAATAAATACTCTAATAGCAGGGGCATAAGTAGGTGAGGCAAATTTATACAGATGAGGCTAAAGGATAATTGAATTTGGAAAACTTAAATTTATTCTGGGTCGCTCTATCAGTATAAAAACTGGTCTTCTTAGAGGCCCAGTGATGATTTGTAATTATTTACAAATGAGAAAATATACTACGTACTCTTAGATTTTATTTCTGCACTTTTGTCAAAAAATGTTTCAGTTTTGGTGAGGCAAATTGCCTCACCTGCCTCATGCCTGTATTAATGAGACTGAGTTCATATTTGTTCACATTTGTTCATATTTCCCTAATTTCACATGTGAATTATTAAAAGTGTTTGAAGTAGTTACTAACCTGCTAACCCTATGGCTATGTACCAAAAATTATACATTCCCCTGATGAAGTTGGTGTCGAGGTCACGCTTATATTAGGTTAAATTTCTAAGATTCTGAATAAAATTACTGATTTTGTATTGGATACATCGAAATAGTTGAATTCTGGGAATGGGCTTCTTTTTTTTCCTTGCGATTCCTCTCTGTTTGTGTAACATTACCATGGCAACTGTGATGTTTTACTCCTAGGTTGTGTACCTTGTTGCCAAGGTCTGGTGTGCTTCAACTCTAGTGGGAAAAAATCATGGAAATGTTAATTTCAAATTAGATAATGGGAAGCTAAGGAGAGTGTAATACCTTGAGAATATTGGGGCATCCGATGGTTAAACATTTAGATAGTAAATGGAGTTTGCTATATTTCTTTACAAATAAATGAAAAATGTAGTTTTTTAGTTACAGAAAGGCTATGTACAGTATATAATATATGTCAAGATAACTTTGGAAACATCACCTATAATATAACTAGTTAAAATCAACAAAGCGGAATCCAATATACCCTAACAGTGCCCTAGTGTGATGTAAGTAGTTTCACTGCTGGTCTCTATACCTCAAAACACCACTGGAATTGAGCTCTGCTGTGATATATGTGTTTTCCTATGAGTAGTCAAACATGAGTCAAACCTACTAAAAATACTATTATAGTACAGTAAAACCATCTAATCCGAACGCTACTGGGACAGACTTAAAGTGCTCGGAATAGCAGTCATTCATATTTCAAAATTTCTTTAATAAGGAAGTCAATGGTAGATTACAAGATTTGGAATGTGAGAGTGTTCATATTGAGGTGTTTGTATTACAGAAGTGTTCATATATACAGGTTTGACTGTATATTTTAGATAGGCCATTCAGACAGAGAAGTTGAGTCAGAAACACAAGCAACAGCTTGAATTTTGAAAAGCAGAGACGGATAACAATCAATTACTGGAAATCTACATGAATTCATATTTTAATGAAACCAAAAATGATTTATTCTTGCTTGATGTAAAAACGAGATATTGAATTTATCCTGACAGTCATATTTAAAGGATCTGGAGGAGTATAATACTTTGTGTAAACTGATCTAATCTTAAGGTAAGTAATGTCACCACTTTTTATGAAATCCATCATAGAGATATTCATTATGAGTAAACAGAAATGATATGTTTAATTTATCCATCTAGAATTTCAATCCTTCACAAAACACTCGAGTGCAAACATTTGCATTTTTATTAGATTTCTTTTTATTGTTGAAGTGCCTTAAATCTACATGTTGACCTGATATCTGTCAAATAATCTGCTTAATTTCCAATTTGGCGTTTGATAAGAGGATGTGGAGTAATACTCTGTATGATAGGGAGGGCCTAACAAATAAACCCTCTGAAATATAAGGCATATCAGGCCCGTAGCCAGGATTTGCCAAGGGGGGGTTCAGTTTTCAAAAAGTTCCAGGGGGAGTTCACATTTGAAAATTCTGGCCCAAATATGGCTAAATCACTTGAGAAGTGCTCAAAATGGTGAAAAACTGCATGATTTTGAAAGAATTTTTGGCCAGGGGGGGGGGTTCGCCCGACATGTCCCCAAAACATTAAATAGAGACTCTTAAAAATACAGCAAAGGAATTTAGAAATATCTGGTTAAATCAGTATTGAGCTGTTATTTTCTTATTGGAGTTAATATTGTGGAATTTTATACCAGGTTCACGTGTTAGCATACACATGTTTGAAATATCTCCAACATGAGTGTTTATCCTGCTAGGAACCACAATCATTAAATTAGTTTCAGTGAACAATGTTCTTAAATTTCCTGAGTACCATGTCAGCCTACACGTTTGTAAAGTCAAAGTACAACATAACCACAGAATCAAACGTGCAATTTGTACACATTAACAAAACCTGTCTGGCAAAAACAGATATCCTAAAAATGCAACATTAAGGGAATTCTGGGAAAATATTGTGTTTGAATTTCATCGGTTTCTATCTGCTGCTGGTTATAAGGTATGTTTCTGTTCTGTTTTTTAGATTCTAAAAATTTTGAGCGTAATTTTGGTTGTGGTTCCCAGATGTAGACAGGACGAGTTAATTGCCTTAGGACGTCATGACGTTTATATGAAAAGATAGGAGAGATACATCATTCTATTTAGTTCACTTGTACCTAACCTAGGGTCCTTTTAGTTGGGTACCCAATTATCAACAATTGTGAAAGAAGTTAATTGTGTTAGGGAAAAGGGTAAATGATGATTTTCTTAGCAAAGAGCATTGGATTTTTCCACATACATTGTAAAAATATATTGAAAGACTAATCAACATTTTGAAATTTCTTTATATCGGGGGGGGGGGGGGGGCAAACCAAAGTGAAATAATTAACACTGCGTTTTCATGAATGTTGATAATTGGACATTATCCCGTATTGTGTTTGATCATATAGAAGGGGCTGAAGTAGGAAAAGAGGGACTTGGTGCTGGACTAACTAGAAGGTAGTCTTTAAAAAGAACAGAAGATGGGAGGGGTTGATTTTGGGCCAAAGTTGTCAAACATGAACCCCCTGAATTGTTTTGAAAAACAGAGATCCTTGGCAAAAGCTGGCTAGGGGCTTGATTGGCTCGATATAAGACAAGTTGAAGGTAACAACAGCGTAGGATGATCTTAAGACATTATAATAATATACATAGAGAGAACTTGATAAGGTAGGATGACCTAATCTTGTACTCTAATTAATTCTTATCCAGTTATCGCTCCATTTCCTGAACACGTTATGAATTCAGGATTTTGATTTTCCAAGAAGTTGTTACCAAAACATATACCCTTCACCAGAGCTAGATGTCACATCTACTCTTACTACGAGAGGTGATTCTTTGATTATGTCTATCTGCTCATATAAGTGGACATTTCACATCCAATCAAAACTCACACAAAAGGCAATGTGCTTTATGTTTAAGACTGGTTAGTCCTATCTGGTTGAACAGTTTAGAATCAATTTTAGGCTGATTAAAGATCATATCAGCTTGAAATCATCTGTAATACTAAGAGGTAGTGTAGCAAAATGAGGCACATTCAGGGTATGAAATCTTGTGATTCAATTAGATTCTGAGTAATACTAGTTTACTGGTTAGGTATTAAGATAACAATATAACCAACTGAAGGCACCGTGTAGCAATATGTAACACCTAATAGCAATATGTAACACCTTGCAGGAATATGTAACACCCTATAGCAGGATGTAACACCATAAGCAAGATGTAACTCCCTATATTAGCCAGTTAGTAAGAAGTACAACATGTACTTGAGTATAATCAATAATTATGCTCACTTCTCAGAATACATACTTCTCAGAACATCTTATCAAGTAAAATAAAATAACATTAAAAAGTTTATGACAAATACCCATCCTTTATTCACACCTAACATTCCCAGCTATACGTTCTTAAATGCAATGAAAATGTCCTGATTGGCCTCAAGTGATGTTTAATTATTCCATATAATAATTGTATATTCTTCTTACATGACTCAGTTCCAAGCGGGGAGATTACAATATTGAATGTCAGCTAGTTCCCGAGGGCAGACTTGTGTTACAGACTTTTATTTTATTGAATTGTTCTCTTTTAATGAGAAGCTCTTATGTGTATACAGTAAAACTTGTGTATCTGAACACCCCTCAATATGAACACTTTCTCCCTGTTCTAATTCTGTACTCTCCCATTCATAAAAACCTTGTGGACATCTGCTAATGTGAACACTTTTGGCTTGCTCCAGTGGTGTTTAGGTAAAGACAGGTTTTACTATATCTGCCTAGGGTGCTTAGGGGCCTTCACAAGGTATTGCCATCTTCTTTAAGGATCTGACCCGAGCCCGGGTGACAAATGTATTTATCTGAGTATTGATGCGGTAACCTTGACAACAATGTACCATCTGCTTCCTCTAGTCCAATGTCAGCTTGACCCATGTCAATTTATATGAGAAGATAAAGAGCACATAAATAATGTTCTTGCTGGAGTAACCAAAGAAGAAAATCTATTCTTTTTCATATTTTAACAATTTCAACTTTTATAATACAATTATGAAATTTTAAATTTGAATAATTATTATCGACTTGTAAATAAGTTTCTTCCTTCATGCTATTTTGTATTTTTTGAAATAAAAAATTGTAAGCCATTTTGTTTTATAAATGATGAATTCTGGGTTTGAGTCTTTTAATGGGATGGTATACCAAAGCACAGATGTATGCAAATATAGGGGACTCTAAAATTTAGATGTCATCTGTTTCCGAAGACCCCTTAGATAAATGTAATAAAATTAAAAACTAGCTTTTACAATTGTAAATCTATACAAAGATTTCTAAAATGATATTAGTTAATGAAAATACAGAATGAAATCCTGTGCTAAGGGCTGATGTGAAAAAGTCAGTCCACCCCTCCCCATAATATTATTACCATTCTTTTATATACGGTAATGAAATACATTTAATGACATAATGTTGATACTTTTTAATGTGGTTAATACTTACAACAGGAACATTGTCTCACCTCTCTCTTTGCCTATCCCTAAAGTAGAACCCAAGAGCTATATATCAAGGAAAAATAATGAACACATTCCATATAAACTAGAATAAATGGTATTTCCATGGGGACTTGAGCAATATATCACACGACATAAGACTCTATTTTGTAATTAAACCTTGCGCATCATGCGAGAAATCTCTATTAAACTTGATGTAGGATGTCGCACGATATTGTGTATAAGGAATTCTAATGTGAACTAAGATGGGCTTTAATTAGACCATGCTATTAGTAAGAATGACATTTAGGTAGAGAATAGAGAGGATTAACAATACTTATTCTTGTCAGCAGAATTTGTTAGTATGTTTCACATAATCTGGCATTTGTATACCCTGACTGTGAAAGTCTAGTGCATAATATACATGAATCTCTCTTTTGAAAGCAAAATCAAATGGTTGGAATGGATGGCATCTCTGTTGTGGTCTTTTAATTTGTTAGGAGGGATTGCGGGGGGGGGGGATAATATAACCTTTGTATTTGGTCAAACCCCCTGCCTTTTTGAAAAAGATTTGGTTAATATGGTTGTTTCTACTGATGGCGAGAGAGAGTTTGGGGGGGTAATTTGTTTTTTCATTCATTTTTATGTGTATGGACAAATTGGCCAAACAGTTAAAAAGTCGTTTAAAGGATATATAAACTTTATGTTCAAAAGCACTTAGAACTAATAGCTTTTCAAGGCAATGTGGGTCAATATGGGTGAGACTTTATTTTTTCTGACCCTCTCGGGGCATGGTTGGCAGATTTAACTAACTTAAATTGACCCTTGCCAAATTAATTACTGATTTCGGTTCACTTTTAAAGATTTATATGCCATTCCAATGCATGTGCATTTACCATACAGAAGTAGCACTTCAAAAACTGTATGTGATTTCTGAGGCAAAATTCATGGTTGGTAACCTCTGAAAGGCAAATGTATGACATGTGAGATATCATTGTATGTTAATGAGAACATCGTAATTAACTTTTATTTATCATCTAAGTTCTATTGTTTTAACCAAATATTATTCATTCTGCTTAGTAATTAGAAACTGTCGAAATCTATCAATCTGCTGTGATCAAAAATACTCAATTCAAGTTCATTTTTTGCATACCAATCAGTTCTGATCATAGAGGTTTACAGTTATAGGATATACCAGAATCTGATTTTTGCTTTGGGGTAAGTTTTTCGAAATGTGTTGCAAGTCAAACCAGGATAAATTAGAATTCAAGTGCTTTGTTTTATCCTGTTGTATGTGATTTAAACAACCAAGGTACTTATGTCTAGGAAACAGATACTAACATAACTAAAAATTGTTTTAACTTGTTATCATTTCTTAAATTAGTTCATTTTGATCAAGACTGCTCAACCTATGGATGTATTTCACTTAACATAGACATTTGATTTGAATATTAACTCCAATCAGGGCATGCATAGATTGCTAATTGGCCCAAGTGACAGCTTGATGCAGCAGAAAAGTGCTAAAGTTAATTAATAATTAGGTGAAAGCTTTAGAGGTGGGAAAGATAAGGTTAAGGGATGTTTATATAGACTATCAAGTTGAGTTAGTTGAATATGTTTCATATTGTTCCTGATTCCCATGTTGAACATTTAAAAGGAGGACACCAAAAACCAGGACAACATTTTATGGTAAGTCGTCTATTTAAGGAGTTAGTGTAGGCTTAAAGAGGATATATTTATTCTTGGATATAAACATAGAAGGACCTCAAAAATCAGGACAATTTTTATGGTAAGTCTTACATTTAAGGAGTTAATATAGGCTTTAAGAGGATATATTTATTCTTGGATATAAACATAGAAGGACCTCAAAAATCAGGACAATTTTTATGGTAAGTGTGTTAATGACCTATTAAATATTTAAGGAGTTAGTTAAAGAGGACATATTAGTGTTGAATACTCAATAAGAGGACCTCAGAAAGCAGGACAATCTTCTATGGTACATGTATGCGATCAGCTTTATATTAAAGGAGTTAATATCATAGATGACATTGTTTCCCTGGATACTTCATCTATTTGTCTTAGAAAAGTCCAGTATATTAAGGTAGGTTCAAAAGTTAACCTTTGTACATGTCTGGAACTAGTGTTCAAGACTGAATACCAGATCAATCATTCTACTTGGGTCACCTTAAAGAAATGTAACTTAGAACATTTCCCCTAAGGCCTGCAAAATGAGCTAAGTGGACAGTGGAAATGGGAAGGCTCTGTTATGAATATTGATGGGGAGACTGTATAACAGTACTCTTTCCAGTCTTTCCAATATATTGGTTTTGATTTTGTTTCTTAAAAGAGAGTGTCATGTACATGTAATACAATGTAATACACTCAGGCATAAAATAACTGGTAAAAGAATGGAAATTTGAGGCATTTTGGTCATTTTGTTTGATTTTCCAGATTATATCCTTGAACTCTGAATCACATTGTGAAATTAAGTTGCCATCATAATGACCCTTTCAACATTTTCATTTAGAGTGTTTCAGTGTATGTCATGATCATCCTCCATATAGAAGCAGATAGGGAGGGAGGGGGTATATTGTTTGAGTATGAGAAGCATAAGTTCCCTAAGAACCTTGGTACTTTTATAAGACAATATTTAGGTCATAAACAGATTGGCATTCTCTTCAGTGTCAGAGTCTGGTACTCTCGGTAGATGAATCTTTCTTTTAAGGAAGCAAAATTGAATTATTGAAAAGTAAGATTAGCTTGCAACTGTCAAAACAACCAGCTTATAGTACAGGCCTGTAACCAGGGGGGGGGGGTCGATGGGTCCGAGTGAACCCCCCTGGCTACGGGCCTGTAGTACATTACATATGTTAGAGCATTTATAGCATAATTGAAACAGTGAAACAGCTGATTCTGATATTGGTTACTGATATAGATTTTCTTCTGTCCCAGGGTACTCTTATCTGCTTATACCATGATAACTAAATACCAGGGGGGGGGGGCTATGTACCCTTATCTTGGCATACCATGATAACTAAACACCAAACAGTGGGGCACTGTATTGTTTATACTATAAGAAAGGTTTAGAATATATTTACATCCAACATAAAATAATAGCCATTTGTCAAAACAATCAACCTATATATTGCCCCAATAACGTTTTTAACCGAACATGTGCCTTCGCATGTTTTGGGCTCACTGCAAATATTGTATCAGTCCAATATATATGTGATTTGATCATCGTGATGACAGCTCTAGCCATATTGATAATTATGTAAATGATTAGTCGACATTAGAACAGAAGGATGTTTTTCAATAATAGGATGAATATACTATCGATTTTGATACTACTTGAATGGATATTATAAAGTAGATTCAAATGTCAAGTCTTGTTGTCCGTTACGATATGAACATCAGTTTAATTAAATGCATGTTTGTATGTAGCACCCTTTGAAGGTGTGAAAGTAATTAAACGAAAGGAAATTGTGTGATTTTAATAGAATAATCCATCATGTGTATATTTAATGATCTCATCATGGCTGTCTTTATTTCCACATCAAGGTTCTCGGATTCGATTTTCCGGGAGAGAATCAAACAGTTTTGCCAATTATTGTGCGATTATCTATTAATCCAAAAGTCTAAACTCGAAATAGAAACTGTTTTGAATCAGCCATTAGTGGTGTCTACTTGGAAGTGCCAGTTCTGGTTTTGTAGATACAAAGTCTAACTCATCAGGGTATGATTCATTCTGATATTATCTTTCTCTGCCCTTTTCTCATTAATTTTCACATTTCCTCGGCTGAATTTTATCAACTATACAATTACAAGCATTTTTGGATAATTCGGGAATATATTATTTGATGATTGTTTGTAGGGATGATACTTTGGAGTTTTGCAAAAATTTGTTCCAGGATGCTTATATTAGTAACTACTTCATTGTATATTGCTGACAGTTGAGTTATCTCAGGCTTTAATGGTGTCTCATCACTGTTTCATGATTCTCTAACAATGTTCAAGTATGAGACACCCCAGACATCACATGTTTACAGTCATTAACAGGTCAAGAAAACCTATCCAAGAAGTTAGATCTATTCCTGGAATTGAATTAATCATGATTATGTGATTTGTGATTTAATTCCGTATTGTCTAATATGGAAACATGATTGAATGGAAATGGATACTCATTCTGTAAATAGGGGGATAAACGACAAGTGATGTCCTTGGATGGAAGCAAAAAACATCCCATAAACATGGATGTTTCTGGTGTAGCCCATAAAAGTGTCTTATGTTTGTATCAGTTACCATGGCATTTAAGGAAAGAATGCAACAAGATGTACTTTAGCTATTCATAGTTGTGTCAGTTTGGAATACCTCATCAATCCCCCCTCCACATATCCCCCCCCCCCTTCTGTGTGCAAATGCAAACCTCTAGTCTTGGTATACAGGTCTCCTCCTTGGTATAATAGGGTCTCCCATATGACAAGTCAACCAGCAGGCAGAGACTCACCCCCATTCTATATGCAAGCGCAGAGATATGTTCTTAGCTCAAGGGGTCTCATTCTTGGTGCAAGGGTTCTCCCACATGACAGTTTGATTGGCATTGCTCATTATAACTTCCCCATTCTGGTGTCATTGTGACTGGTGATGTAAGATTAAAACCCATTGATTGCTCACAGACTTGTATTCACCCTCGAACGAAACAACACCCTTACCAGGCTTAATATTAGTCTCTTTTACTTCGATTTGGTGCATTTCCTGCAATTTTGTTACAATTTGGTATATGGAATTCACATCTCTGTTATTTTATTGTTTGAAAATTCTCATTTGCGTATGTTTTAGGGCGGAGAAACAAGATGTATGTTATATTTTTTTCATGGGTTTCAATATATTTGATGCTCGTATCAGCTGACTAAGAGAATATTAAATTTTGTACAAATGTCAATTTTTATATAGAATGTCTGAAAAGAAGCTAAATTGGACATATTAGCTCCTTTTTTCTCAATCAGAGCTTGTTTTTTACTCTTTCTAGTTTTGCCCCTTGCATTTAGTTTTTGAGATAAGATTACCCATGGCCAATTCTTCTTTGCGGCTTTTATTGAGACAGTTCCCTGTAGGTTTCCTTAATTTTCTGTGATGGCTACAAGTGATTAAATATGTTTTTGCATGTCTCAGTTCATGTTTTCATTACTGTTAAAGACAAGATATCACGGGAGCTCTGAAATATTTTCATTTGTTCTATGTAATTTGCAATTGTTTTGCTGGAGTCTCTTTGGCTTAACTAAGACTCTTCGATAGTAATTTACGAGATATTGCACTGACAGTATAGTATTATTACATTATATATAGCTCATAACAGAGATAGGACAACAATGGAGATAAAATACATTTATTTCACTCAGGAAAAAGCGCCGATGGAAAAGACTATAATGAAAATGAGATATCCTCTTATGATGCTTTCGTGCATTTATATTAAATTAATCATCGAACAAACTAGGACTCTCTCTCCCTATATGAATTTATGAATCATTCCATATGGTAGCTTCCCTTGTAATGTTCAAGATCTACGTATCTATTCTTCTTGTCGTTGCACCATTTTAGATTTGCTAACTTGCGGACTGCTGGCTAAATATGCCCATTCAGCACACTGTATGAAAATTATAATTAATTGATGACTAGCTTCCGATATTGCTTATTATATGTGTATATTGCTATCAGGGTAATAATATAATCAGAATGAATGTTTTTTTCAAATATTAGTGCATTTCACATTGCTGCAATTCCCCGCCCCTCTTTAATATTAAACACCCCCCCCACCTCCTATTTGAGATACCTGGAGCCCATATCATGCCCAAATGTAAAGTATGCAAAAATAACATGCTTTATGCTTGACTATTATTACGAAAACTCCGGGAATGTGAGTTACAATCCCATTGGTAAAGATCATGATATTGCAGTGATAAACAACAATGAGATTGTCGTGCCATGAATACCGCATAATAGTTCGGATGAGATAACTGATCCCTTGAATGAGTCAAACTATAAAATGAGATCATTAGTACGATCATATGGATTTTCTTGCGTCACATATTTCATATCATTGCTTTGGAAATCTTATGATTTAACCAAATGTGGGTTATTTCTGTTTGTGTTTCTAATATTTCTTCACCGATTGCTTATTCTTTGTTATGAGAGTGCTGCTACATTTGGCATTAATTATTCAGGCGTTTTATTTGGCATTCGTAACAATTTCTACTAAAGGGAGTGAATGACTCAATGTTATAAGACAAAGTGCGATTATACCAATTCATGAAATTACTACTGAATCAGCGTATTGGATGAGGTTTGACGACACATTTAAACCTGTTTAATCCGAACACAATTTTGACCAGTCATTAGTGTTCAGATTAGCAGGTGTTCACATTTCAAGGTTTCCTAATATCAGAATCAATGGAGGATTTGAAAGTAATGATGAAGAAAAAGTGTTCACAATGAAAGATGTTGGATTAGAGAGGTGTTCAGATATACAGTTTTACTGTATACTGTAATCAATATTACAGTACTTCTTTGTTTTACTATAATGTGAAATAATGATGTCATATTCTAACTTTTTAAGGATGTCATGTGCTGTAATTTTTGATATGACATGAAAACCATCCCTATTTATGACATGACATGAAACTCTTCCTTGTTTCATAATCTTATTGTTGAATTTGAAAAAGTTTCAGTCCAACTTTGACTAAATCAGTTTCAATATTCAAGTTTAAATATCTTTGTAATAATAACTACACGGTAATCTTTATATTAATGATATGACTGTCTAATCGTAAATGCATAGATGTTAATGTCGTGTATATTGTATATTTGCAGACCTACCCATCTAGCCGCACTATGCCTGCCGCCAGCCCCAATACCACAAGCAGTCAGTCCAGTAATAGCTCTGGGGAACAACTTAGCCGTACAAACCTCTACATCCGTGGCCTCACTCCCAACACAACAGATAAAGACCTCATCAATCTATGTCAACAGTAAGTCCTGATATGATGTATATTATAAGAAAAGTTTGATTGGAACATGGCTTGGATCCCACAAAAGTGTTCATATTTCGATGTCTTTGAATTCATGCGATGCAGAAACCATAAAGTTCTTATGTAATATATACAGATACAGTAAAATCTGTCTTATCTGAACACTACTGCATATCATAGTGGAAGGAGAACCAGGCCCGTAGCCAGGGGGGTTTGCAGGTTTCGGGTGAACCCCCGCCCCCCCCCCCCCCCCCGGCCAAAAATTCTTTCAAAATCATGCATTTTTTCACCATTTTGAGCACTTCTCAAGTGATTTTAGTCATATTTGGGCCTAAATTGTCAAATGTGGTGAAACTCCCCCTGGAAATTTTTGAGAACTGAACCCCCCTTGGCAAATCCTGGCTACGGGCCTGGAGAAGTATGCATTCGGGTTTGAAACAAGACTCATGCCTTACATCCCCTTGTGGTAACCTCTACTCCAGTCTGGCATCAAACCCTGAACACCCATCCTCAAAATTCATCTGTATATATAAGGGGGTGGGGGTCCAGGACTATGTACCCTGTCTATGAGGAAGGAAAATGGTGTGAGGTCCAACCTATGTAACTTTGTAGCATTAACTAATTAGCCAAATATTTCTAATAAAAATAAATTGTTATGCTACATTCAGAAAAAAATATATTTGATACATCCGGCCACTTTGTAACACCTAGACACTTTGTATACAAACTAAGAGTATAAAATGTCCTGCTTCAGTTTGGAGTTTCATTTGAAATGTTTGACTTTCGATTCAAGTGGGACCTTAAAAGGTTGAGTGTTTTTCTATTTTTATTTCTTGCGAGTAATATTGCTAGTAATATTGAAATGTGTGTGGTATAATCTGAATGGTTCTCCAGTTTAAATTACTTGAAAATTATTTCCCCACGTTGGGATTTTCTCGCAAGTTAAGATCCCAATATAAATTCTTATATAAATAAGTATATTGCAAAAGAATACTTCACATTGTAAAATATTATGCCGAAGTCTTACTAAAACCCAATATTTTTACACTGTATCCAAAAAGAGCAACTCTCAGTCAATATTTATGATAAAGATCAAATCTTGGACAACATTTCTTCACTGTATTGAATTCACCCAGATTTTAAACGGTTTAAAACCAAAATAGAAGTGCAAAGATTTGTACATGTGTGACTTTTGTCCCCGTCAATTATAGACCCATGTTAAATCCTCTTGTCCAAAGAATGGCAATGTAACTTCTTGGTTCTCTCCATGTTTCAAATATTATGGTATTAGTTTAGCATTTTGGATTAGCTCGATATGGGATTAATATAGAGTGCGGGTGGAGAACTGCCGTGTTTTAGAGTTTCATATAACATTGTTATGTAAGAAAATGGGCGGAGAAACTCTGTTTTAAGGTATCAACGTCATGTAGTTATGTAAATGTCTTCGACTCTGAATAGCTATGACGTCTTTTAAGGGATAGATTACAATTAAAAGTCTGATATCTTAACATTAAACAATGATGTGAGAATGATATGATATTAGGCCTGTGTATGAATTGTCATCCTTCAACCTGGTTATTCGATTAGTTTTTCACACAGAAATGAGAGGTGTTCTTAAAGACTATGGTACTTAAAACCATCCTCCAAGGATGACTTAAAACTAGTAGGCATCCCTCTTACTATGTAAGGCATCCTTAAGACTATTAAGTAATTGTGGAGGGGTTGTATATCCCTCCTGAATGTTTTTATGTCTTATCTATATTTTGGTAAGGTATATTGATTTTTAAAAACAAGGTATACATCAAAGACTTCAACACAATCTTTCCGAATGGTGTCTAATGAAGTGTAATTTCTGTTGATAATAGAAAATCTAAGCCATATTTCATAATATAATAGTGACTTTAATTATCTCCTTGATACTTGATTATACTTCAGCGGATTTATCAAAACCAATCTCCCTGACATGCCACGCGGTTATTTCAGACGCTATCTTTTGAAATCTGCACTTGTAACGAAAGTGCGTTTTCTCTTAATCAGGCTAACTCTAATGAGATTCTGATGAGCAAAATGTCACCAGTTTTCATGGTAATAAGTCTCCATGCACTTATCTTGGGTAGATGATTCGACAACTCATTTAGAATCCCTCAAGTACCTGATATAAATATTTTCTGGCTAATAAATATCGCAGATAAGAAGCTGTATGATTGTAAAAAATTGCTTGTGTTTGAGGGTTTAATCTGCGCAATTAGCAGTGTTTCGATGGCATAATTGAAACGATAAGCGTCATGACTAACCTTGGAATCTCCTTCAATTCAATTCAATTCAATGCTAGTCAGACCCTGAACCTGTGACTCCATCTATTTACCCTCCTGACAGATCTCGCTTGGGGGGTAGTGAAATGTTTCTCACCCGGCACATCTGATACGAGAGATAGATAGTAAGGGTGCAAAAAAATGCTTCATAATGGCTGAATGATTTTAATGTCAAAATGAAAAATAATATTGCATTGTAAAACAAAAGTCCATAATGGAATTCAAGCTATTGATTCTTTAATATTGCAGAATAATATTCCTGGATAATTGTAATTGCAACATGCTCCTGGAGTTCTATTAGTTGTGTCTGGATGTTTATGAATGAATATTAGTCCTTGATTATTTGATAGTTTTCTCATGATAAGTCAATGAGCTCAATGTATTTGTAAGAGGGAGGGGGGGGGGGTGCACAGGTCCATAGCCAGCTTTTGCCAAGGGGGTTCACTTTTCAAATAAAATCCAAGGGTGGTTCACTTTGACTAATTTAGCCCAAAATCACATATTAAGTGCTCAAATGGTGAAGAATGCATGATTTTGAAAGGATATTTGGTCAGGGAAGTTTGCAGTTTGCCTGAACCCCTCAACACCCCCCCCCCCCTCCCCTGGCTACGGGCCTTATATTTCCATAAGAATTGAATGTTCACGACGATGCACTCCATGGGTTCACTTTTATTAACTCTTTAAATGTCATAAGATGACATGTGTCAGATAAATAGAATTAAGTTCGATTAATCCTACTTCTAAAATATCACTTTTTCTCAAAGGATAGAGACAGTATAATAATGCCAACATGAGCTAAAGTTTGATGAAGACCGTGTTGTAGTACTGGCCATATTGGTGCAGCGATATTCTGGTACAATTAGGTGTAGCAATACTGGTGCATATAGGTGTAGCAATACTGGTGCATATAGGTGCACCAATACTGGTGCATTTTGGTGTAGCAATACTGGTGCATATAGGTGCAGCAATACTGTTGCATATAGGTGCAGCAATACTGGTGCATTTTGGTATAGCAATACTGGTGCATATAGGTGTAGCAATACTGGTGCATATAGGTGCAGCAATACTGGTGCATTTTGGTGTAGCAATACTGGTGCATATAGGTGCAGCAATACTGGTGCATATAGGTATACTGGTGTAGCAATACCGGTGCATATAGGTGCAGCAAAATGGGTACATATGGTGCATAGTTATATATATATTTACATATCTGGATATTCTATTTCTTCTTTGTTGTATATGTGATCTTAGTAGATTGTTATGAAACATGGCAGTTACATTGTATGGTGTTTGTGCTTAATCACAAGTCGAACCTAATAAAAAATGAACGAACCTAATAAGACATAAACCTGTTTCGCAAAATTGCGTGATTGCACGACTGTAAGATATTAGATTTTTGTCCTCAATAGATTATCCTATCTTTTGTTCTCTATTGGTGTGACTTACATCTGAAAGGTGGAATGTTGTCTGTCTACGCTCATGCAGAGCTTGGAGCTATAGTTCTAATACAACATATTTTAGACTTCATTCCTTTTAAGTCTCATAAGAAGCAGTTTTATTATTGGAATCAGAATCTTCATAAAGTGGAGAATTCCCGAAGCAATAGCTGTAACCATGGATACTATGCCATCAAAATAAGAATTCTACCCTGCACGCAGTTATAACTAGACAAAGACGAAGCTCTCTTTTAAGAAGCAAAGTCGAACGAATGCAGAGTAATGGAATTCCTAGCTTGACGAAGTTTCTTTTAACCCCTGATTAGCAAAACTGTTAGTGCTAGTTAAGGGTGTGAAGGTATTTTGTGGTCAGGTGTATATTACACAATCACCCTTTTAAGGAACATTTCGTTGTTGTTAATCTGTATAGGATCTGTTTCCTCAGATTACCAATCCATTGTTTCTTGCGATATATTACACCCTGTTGTTTTGGCTGAATGCTTTAGAATATTACCCTGACTTCTCATCGTTTGTTCTTCACTCTTAGTATTGCAGATGATTTGATGTTTTGAAGGCTTACAATCTCAAATGTAGCGTTTGTGGCCTTTTATAGGAGTATAAATGTGAGGCTACATATGGCCAGGAAATGGACATACAATTTTACATGATTTTCCTGAATTTTAGGTTGATGTCAGCGAGATCTAAAAATCATCTCTCATTTTAAGAGTATAGTTTAAGTTAAAATCCTGCAGTAGATAATCACTTTGGGATATAGGTAATTTCAATTTAAAAACAACTTTTGGCACCACCCGTTCACTAAATCGTACCTATATACATACTGGGTCCATTATCGGTGGCTGTGTATACCAAGGGTGAATAGTGCAGTTGTCAGGAATAATTGAATATCTGAGTCTGGGTTTTACATAATTGAATAGATGTCTAATTGCATTATGTTAACTAATATGTTTAATGTCAGTGTGTTATGTTGTTTGTCTGCGAGTTCCATTTACTGTTTTAGATTCTTGGGGGTCTTCGTGACATTGGAGGTCATCGTGACTCTTTCCGTCTGTCTTTCTCTCTCTGTGGATTGGTATACCACTTGAGGATTAAAATGATTGAATATCACGTTTGATATGCCACTTATGGATTGTCATTTTGTTGTGGTCTTTTCGATTTAAATGGATCATTTTCTAAAATAATCTGTTCAAGAATGTTGAGATGTTTTTTCTCAAAAAATGCATTCGTGTTTCTTTATGGTATGTCGTATTTTCCCCGAGGGCGTTATCAACTTAAGCCGTTTATATGTGTCAATATGTCAAGACGCAGGTATTCAACTATTATTTGCTTCACCATGTTCTTTTTCTAAAATAGTAATTGTAGACTTTGTACACCATCCTAATGTCCCTAAATCTGTTTGACAAATACAAAATAAATCATAGAAGATATGAAAAAGATAATTTTGTTGTTTAAAATATCATTTAAAAGTAATTTAAAATTTCACATGTTGAATTGAAATTGAAAATTATTGAATTTGTTGGCATGTTTCAATTCAGACATTTCCTGTTTAGAAATTCTATTTGATGTTTTTCACGTAAAATATGTGTCAAACTATATAACATTTTTTGAATGTTTCAAAAATCTATTTTTGAACGCAGGCATTTAAAGTACTTCCTTTATTAACACTTGTATTATAATTATTTCCTTGTTCGGCTATGTTATCTAAAAAGAAATTTAGAAATTGTGAATAATTGAAAAGTTTGTGAATTGAATCGCAACTGTTCGTGTTTGGATTCAAGGGATTAAATTTTTGTACAACGCTTTTGTCAATAGGTCTTAGGCAACTTTAAGCAACTTCGCTTACTTTCAATTTGCAATATCAATATTAGACTTGTATAGCTGCTTCAAGGCTAAATGCGGGAGCCAAAATCACAGAATAGAGCCAAATTGAAATATGTTGCACGCTATGATTCCAAAAAGGGTTCCCTTGGCATGTTTGGATTTTGAAAAGTGGTTTTAAATTAAATTATTTGTTAGAACATAAAACTCTTATTAATGTGAGATAAAAACCTTTTGGCATAATTTTATTTTCTGGTATATGACATAGCAAAATGAATCGGCCTAAAATGAAAAAAACAAAGCCTGCATTTTCATACGTGGTACTGAATTAGTATTGCATTTTTCCAAACTATGGGTCAACCAACCCATATGAAAAACATGTCATGCAAACAATCCATGATATATATAGTATACCTTTACCTTTATATGTACATTTCACCTTTACAGAGTTCATTTGGATTTATACTACAGATTATCCACGTGAATAATCCCTCTGATGAATTGGAATAAGATAATAATTGGCAAAAGTTTTGAATAAATATGTTATATTGGGTCTTTTTGTAATGTTGCCTCATCATTTGGTCAACCTGGCTCAATACATACAAGTTTCCTTCTATAAATGGTATAATGCATAAAAATGTATAAAAATATATAATGGGGCAAGGTAGATTAACTCCCAGCATGCAGTGTTTTAACTCACATGGAGCGATCGGGTATTAATGTTACCATAATGTTCAACTTGCAACTAAATAGTTGATCCGGAGATGAACATTAAGGTACTATTATAACCAAAATCTCTATACTGATCAAAAGATCTTGAAACTATACTGGGATCCAATCACCCTCGGGAGATCAAAAGATCTTGAAACTATACTGGGATCTAATGACCCTCGGGATCTCGAAACTATACTGGGATCCAATCACCCTCGGGAGATCACGGTTGCATGATGCCTTTTCAGAGACTCTGTTCTATACTCCTTTTGCATATATGCCATCTTGACTTATGGTAAAGAAAGGCACTGAGGGCTTAGAAGTCTTAGTTCACCATTTATATCTTCAATAAAAACTAAAACTGGAATCTGATTGTTTACAATTCTTCCTTAATGAGATATGTTATAGGATACAATACAGCTGGCCTAGACATTAACTCACAATAAACTTAAGACAGGAACCATATGGAAAATATATCTTGAATGTACATAATGTTTGAAATAGAGTGTATATGAGTTAATGATAAAGAAAAGACTAAACTAAAACCTGTATATCTGAACACCTCTTTTAGTCAAACACCTCTCAATGTGAACACTTTTTCTTTGTTCCCGTTGATTTACATATTAAGAAAATATGAACACCAGAAAATATGAACACCAGCGCTAATCCAAACACTTTTGACCAGTCTCAGTGGTCTGTTTGCTGGAAAGTATTTTTAGTGGAACTTAATGTACAAGTGGAACATTTCCCAAGTGGAGGACTAGCATAGATGTTCCACTTACACATGTGTTCCACTTACACATGTGTTCCACTTACTCAGGTGTTCCACCTACATATATGTTCCACTTACACATGTGTTCCACTTACACATGTGTTCCACTTACACATGTGTTCCACTTACACATGTGTTCCACTTACACATGTGCTCCACTTACACAGGTTTTACTGTATATTTGGTCAGTTTTGATATTAACTTTTAACATGTATATGTGTACAAGAACAAATGCATGGGACATGGTTATTTATTTTATGATGCTTATATTGTTTATCTTGAATTTTGTAATGAAGATTTTTTATTATTTTTATTTGCAGATATGGTAAAATAGTATCTACAAAAGCAATAATCGACCAGAATACTAACAAATGTAAAGGTGAGAATCTTTTTGAATTAAGATTTTTTAAAATTGAAAAGATATGAAGCTTTAATTCATGATTATATCAGCTAATCTGAAAGAATGATGGTCAATTTGATGAAGTCATTTCCATAAGACAGTTCAAAAACATCTGATGGGAACCAGCTTTATGTAATATTTTGGTTTATTCATGAATTCAATTTTTATTGTATAAGTGTGAATATTACATGTATAGGCCTTTAGTCTAAAATATATCTATTTTTATTTGTCAGTGAAAAGGTCATTCACTTGCTGGTCTATAAATCAAGTTTTTATCTAAATATGAAATAAAAGAAATCTTATTTCAACACAGTACAAGGATAAAGCTGTTGACATGATTTAAAAAAATAAAATAAAAAATGGAATTTCTTTTGAATTGAATCGGGGCAAGACCCTTTTTATAATACATATATAAAATAAAAAACGAACTACCAGTTTGACCTTAAAGTTCTTTGACTTTCAATAAATGTGTTCATTTTGTATCTAATATTCTAAAACATATTCAAAATAGTTTCCTGTTGCATGAGAAGAAAACCTGAATGGGCAACAAAAAATTCAAAGTCATAATTCTGTGATTATGAAAACTAAAGGTAATTCTGTAAACTTGATATATGTGTGGAAGATTTTATAATTTCTTGCTTTACAGTATAATAATCATATATCCTGAAATTTACAGTGAGGATAACGCGATCATTTCTGAATCCAAAACGTGCCATAGGATTGAAGATCTTCTGTACTATATGCAGACTGTCCTGCAATGGTTTCGAGTTGATCCTTAATATGATTTATTTGGTACTTTGGCTGGTTTTAGAGCCTTTAGTCTGCACTTTACTCAAATAGTACAAGGTCTCTACTAGATCACTATTATCTATGTGAAGATCCGTCACCCCAGCAAACCATAGTCTTATATCAAATCCCTAATAGCCCTCTTAAAAGACACGTTTTCTGTCCATTCTATTATCACACATATTTTCCATATTACACAATATTTATGCAGTAAAACCTGTCTGATTTAAATGCCACTGGGAACACTCAAAAGTGTTCAGATTAGCAGGTGTTCACATTTTAAGGACTTTCAACATTGAAGGCTATGATAGATTGAAAATGGAACCCAAGAAAGTGTTCACATTGAGAGGTGTTCAGAAATATAGGTTTAACTATACACACATATACCTGGAAGAATCAAGGCTTCTCAAAAATAAATAGCTCTGAATGGAGTGCCAGGTGTTCCTCATAATGTGGTATGGTTTAGATGATGGACTGTTTCTAGTTCTTGGTACAGAATCTGAATCAGCTGTTTTCAATGTTGGCTTTATAGTCTGTGTGAGGTAGAGCATAGTAATTTGCATTATTCTTAACTCAATAAAAGGGTTACTGTGAAAATAGCAAGTATTGCTAAAACTGAAAAGTGTAATTAGCTTTACTGTATTGAATTACCCTTTGGAAACATTCTGATTTGTCAGAGTGTCTATTTTTATTATAAGAAAGGGTAGCAGATGTAGATACCACACAATGAGGAGGAATTGTTTTAATACAAATGCATCCACTTCCTACATATGTTCAAAGTGGTAATAAAACATACTGCAGTCTGTCCATGTACATTTAAACCTATGTAAGTGGATTGCCTAAGGGGTACCTCAACAAAATATTCCACTTACAGAGATGTTCCACTTACAAGAAGGTCATTTTACATTCAACTAGGCTTTGAAAAGTGTAATGGAGAATTAGACTTTTAACAGTGTTCAACTTGTGAAAGTATTCTACTTCCAGAGGTTCATTTAACAGTAAGTTAATGGGCAACTGGACTTCGAAACGTGATTGGCTTTTCCACTTACAGATCAGTTCTACATTACATGTTTCACTGTACTATTATTCCATGTATAGTATTCTCTGGTACATTCTTAAGTCTGTTTTCTTTTACTTTTATCTCCCTTATCTTTGTGCCCTTTTCTTGTTGTTCGGATCTCATCAATAACATATCTTGGAGCTCTTGCTTTTCCTAACTTAAAGGTAGAATCAGATCTATATAGGGATTGACACAATTACAAGTAGCATGTACAATTGACATACCAGTCTATTCCTTACAATCTCAAATATAAGATCTCCCAAAGGATCTGAAATATGTTATGAAATTGTAAAGTTATTAAGGATTCAAAGTGCAAAATGGGGGAATGTTCAAATTTTCCCTAATAATAAAAATGGTAACCATATTTATAGAAAAAATGAATGCTTGATTGTAAAAACCTTTTTTCCTAAAAAATGATATGCGCTTTTGGGATTTTTAAAAAACTAGACATGACAAGGAATGATATGAGCCAAAATTATTCTAAAATAGAAACTTTTTTGTTTAGCTTGCTTGCTAGATCTGGTAGATCTGATTCTCCCTTTAATAAAAGTGAAATATGAGTGAAAAGTAGAGAAATGGCATAGAGTCAGTATCTCTACATTTTTGATTTTGATGAATAGCAAGAATTGAGTTTTTCAGATTTGCCAGAAATATAATATCAAGTTATGAAAATAAAGACATTTGAAAGTGTTGCAGTCCTTTTGAGAGATTGCAATGTTATCATTACCTTTTGAATGTTATCATTACCGCCGAATGTTATCATTACCTCTGAATGTTATCATGGCTTTTGTACCATTGCATTTAGCCCTGTAAGATTCAGGAAGTACTTCCTGAAAATAAAGTATTCAGTTCAAAAACCAGAAAAATGCTGATTAAGGGAGAACGAAATTGTCACTGATATTTGTGAGATACATAAGACATAACCAGTTTGATCTCATCATTATTGAATTTGTTCTATGCGTTCAAAGTTATTTATTTTAATTTATTGTATGTTAGGTCCATCTTCCCACGCAGGCTTACTTCATGGAGGCAGTTATGATGTTACGCTGACACTCAGACATCATCCATACATGAATATCTTAAGGGCTATTTTTCTTAAAAACTGACAAGAGTATGAGAGTAGATAGAAAGCAAGGAAATTATGTTGCGTGTACAGTTAAGCCTCTTTGTTGAAACACCTCTGAAGTGTGAACATGTCTCAACGCAAGCTTTTACTTGGTACCAATTTTGGTAGATTCTATTGGTTCACATTTTAAAAAAATTAAATGTGTACACTTGCTAATCTGAACACTTTTAACTGGTCACAGTAGAGTTTGGATTAGACAGGTTTAACTGTATATTTTAGATATTGTGTAGATAAAAACTTAGAGATGATCTCTCGGGATTTAGGACAAAGAAAGCTCTTACCATGCATTGTAATATTTCCTCAATAATTTAGCATAGGAAATCTTGTTGATTCTGAACACAACTTGACCTGGTCAAAAGTGTTCAGATTAGCAGGTGTTCACATTTCACATTGGTAATCTATGCCAGATTTAGAAAAATCAGGCTGAAAAAGTGTTCACATTGAGAGGTGTTCAGATAAGATAGATTTTCGGATATATTGGTTTTACTGTACTTTACTTCTCAGATATGATCCAGTTATTTCTTTATTCCTAAATGTTGAATGTAAGGCACTATTTCTTGCACTATTTCTTAAACCGTTATAATAACCCAGTTACATGCCTTGTACTTTCTTAATGATTTCTATACTTTCTCTCTTTCATATGAAATATTTTCATCTTTTATTTTATGGGGATCGTTATGACATCGAAAGTGTTGGCACAACCTGGCCATAAGAAATAGAAATAGCTCCTAAAATACTCCACGCTTATCACTTCATTGGCAGAGAAAATCTTGAGGAAGGATGTTCGACTATTGCGTGAACTGATTTTGTACTTTACACCCTGTATCATTTCCTCATTTCCTGTTGTTTTTCCACCATCGTTGATTTACACAATCTGCAATAATCCAGATTTCAAATAGAAGAAGGATGTCTTGCTTCAATTTTACAACCCATGATGATGCAAGATGACTTCGTTAAAAAATACTCCATGCATTAATAGAGGGAATTTGCCTGGTATTTTGGACAAGTTTTGATCACTGAAGCTTCACATGTAGACGTTCTGAACTTTTGATACCCGATGGTGAAATGTCTGAAAATGAACTCAAGAACATTCCCTTATCTCTTTGTTTTTAGTCACGGATGTTTTTTAAACTAATAGGTTAAGAGATCTGTTGTTAAATTTGACAAAATTTCCTGCTTATATCCTCACGTGCTTAACCTTTACCATGCTGCCTTATTTCAGCAAATATATCCCACGCAACTGGCTTATTTTTCAAAGAGTGCAAAAAATGATATACCTGGACTAAATAATTAATATCTCAATAACTACTGAATGAATCTGGATAAAATTTTCACAAAGGGAAGATACAGTGGCCTGGCTCATGAAAAAAATGTTCTCATGAATTTTTACGTACATTAACACGACTGGGCATAAATATACCATGAATACTCCTCCGGAATCCGCCGCTCCGCCTCTTCGTCTGGTCAGAATCCAAATCTGAATTTGCAGCGATCGAATGTTCAATTTTTCAATTCAGAAAATATTCTAGTTTCTATTTTCGATGACCGTTATCGGCTTCCAAGAGCCTAAAGAGCTCAAAATCGTAATACATTTCCTCCACATTTTCGCTGTGATCGTATTTGTCCACCATTTTGAAAGATTCGTTCACTAAAAACGACTAAAACACTGTTTAAATTGTTGAATTGAGAATTATTTTTCGAAATATCGCCATTTCTAGGTCAACAGGAAGTCATGTTAGGCACTGAATAAATCGGGCAATCTAATTGGACAATATGAATGGCGCGAAAAAGTAAAGTTTTTAAAAGTTTGAAATCGGGCGTACAGGTCCGCCCGCAGTTGTGAGAGACATTTTAGTCTCGGCGGACGAGTCCGCCAGCAGCACGCTAAAGGTTAAACCTCTCGAAATCCCAAAACATGTGATACATCCGAAGATGTTCCAATAGCAAACAAACATGTAAAAATGTTACCCTGAATTATCTTATTAGTGATATTACACTCTAAATATTGCAGGTGATTTTATTTTACAATTGTCCTGCTAATCGTGTCTTAATGATCTTAAATGGATCTTTTGGGTAGTTTGGGTATAAAGTGAATATTAGTATATTAAAGGCATGAAATAAACTGTCATCATTTTCAAACTACTTATTTTAAAGATTGTCTCCATATGGAAGAGATCTCTGCATCCCATATACCTTATGTGATCTCCCTAGATCCCTTAACAGTATATCTAATGCAATAATGCAGGGAGACTTATCTCTGAAATTCCATTCTAATTTAGTACTATCTCTTAGTCAATGTTTGCTTGTGGAGGTGTTGGGGAGAGTATTACTTTATGTTACCATATGGTTATAGACTGTTACCAGATAGTTTGCAACAGCTTGGTTAACAGCTGTTATAAGCCCACTATGTTTGCTTTAATATAAGCTTAAAATTCACATGTGGGGTACATTTGATTGTTAGCATTGCCTGGTCTCTTTGGTCCATTGATTGCACGATGAAAAAGTGATGTACCAGTACCATTGCCCCGCGTGACCAAAACATGGGTTACCATAGCAACCATAACTTTTGACCAAACAAAACAAAGTTATTTATTTTTTGTTTTTTATTAATGAGTAGGTATTTTTCTATGTTTTGTGAAAGTTTCAAGGAAAAATATTAAAAATAAAAAAGGAGTATGTTTTTGCATGAACTTATTGAATGACCTGGTACAGGTTAAATATTGTGTTTAAACACCTCTCATAAATGAGAAGGCCTCATAATGTGAACATTTTTGAATCACAGTTTTGGAATAGTCTTTGACTGTAGTTAGAACCTCTGAATTTAGACACCTCTAAATGTGAACATTTCTCAATGTAAACACTTTTCAATGTGAACACTTTTTAATGTGGACACTTTTTAATGTAGACACTTCTCAATATAGACAGCTCAAGGTGTCACCTCTTGACACATCTAAATGGGGATACCTTTTACTGTGAACACGTAATGCTTCAAGCAGTGTTCATTTATTGGTTTCATTGTAGATAAGCTCAACTTTATCAATCTGTTGCAGTCAATGGACTTCAATGCTAGAGATTGTGTTGACCTGTATGCTACTTGAGATAGCAGTCTGTGAATATACTCTAATCTTGGATTATCTGAAACTCTCATCATCTCTATGGTGCCAGAGTATACAGTCTAGTATAGTGTACTTGTGTATTATGTATATGGTACATGAATCAGGTTCTTTGAATATATTAGTGCTTGTACATTACTGACCAATTTACATTCATTTATTTATTCATTTATTTATTTCATTTATTCTAATTTGCTTTTGGAGATGACAAGTGTTCTTTTGGGGAAAAAGATAAATTTTGAAAATATCGGACCATGCGAAGTCAGTTCCAAAAGTCAGAAGGTAAAATCTGATTGATTGACGATAATTCCAATCCGTGCCAGATCTACTCTGAACCTTTTTTTGCCATTGTGATTGTAGGTGACTGACCAACAAAGCTGGCTATAGTTAACATGGATGATGACTATGTCCTTACATGTACTGGCCCCTATGTCTACTCTGAGCTCAATTTCCCTTGGTTTTAGGTGAAGCCTGGCCCATGATCCATTTGCATCCACACATGTAACTCCTTAGCAGCCTGATTGTAGACTAGACCCATATGGGTCCGTTGACATTCACATTGAACAAGCCCCTTTCAGACAATTCTTAAGCAGCCATCACAATTGATCCCTATGGACTCCTCCATTTTTGTATTGTTCTAACCCCTTTGTTTATTTTCTGTGATTTCAGGTTATGGATTTGTTGACTTTGAATCTCTCCATGCGGCGGATGGGGCAGTGAAGGCGCTCCAAGCTCAGGGAATACAGGCTCAAATGGCAAAGGTGCGTACCATGCCCAGTGATGCTAATTATTCATTCTTGGGCTCAACTAACAGTGGGGTGAGGATAACAAACATGGGAAATCCAACTGATTTCTCTTTAACTTTCTCTTTTTTAATTCTGAGTTAGTACAAATGATTCCATAATGTTCAAACCTGTTTCTAATACTAACAAATACCCTTTTAGAATTCTGTTTTGTTCTTTTTGAGTTTTCATAATTTTTAAGTTGACTTGACTATAAGTAAATTGTAACATAAGTGACACTATAATATAATATAAGTTACACTATGATATAAACCTTATGTAGCACTCATAAACTTATAAAACAGAGGTGTGCATTCTGTTAAAGCTGTTTCTCATGCTAACAAAAACCCTTTTAGAATTCTGTTTTGTTCTTTTTGAGTTTTCATAATTTTTCAAGTTGAAGTTACTCTTAGTGAACTATAACTGACACTATAAGATAAGCCCGATGTCATACTCATTAACATGTACACTATCCTGAATTGAAAGAATCTCATATTTTTTTTAATGTTGTCATTATTTATCTGACATTCATTTGGCATTTGCATATAGGTGAAGGTCATAAACTTTCATTTTGACCGTTATTCAAAAGAGTTAACACAATAATATTTTGCACAGGTCAACATGCCTCAAGTAACTTAAATAATTGAATTGAACCTTTTAATTGAACCTTTTAATTATGTTCTTTTGCAAGATTTGAAGTGAATTGAAACATTATGTTTGACTAAATTGAAGTTTATGTGTGTTTCTGATCTTCTCTCCACCAAATAATCCAATCATGGCAGTATGAAGCATGTGCAACTTCCTTGTTTTCTGTGTAAATATTAGAAGCACTTATGTAAGAAGTTAATTCCTTGCGGCCCACTATACTATCAGCCATCCTCTAAAATATTAACTAAAGCTCGCGGAAGTAAGCCAATTTTCATTAGAATATTTTGGTATCGCAGTAAACTCAGTCTCGTACTGGCATCTATTGTTCGGATTAGTAGATGTTAACATTTTTTAGAAGGTGTTAACATGGAGTTTTTTAAATTTTAATTGGTAGTCGATAGGAGAATATAAAAGTTGACATGGGGGAAAAAGTGTTCACATTGAGAGGTTTGGAATTGAGAGGTGCTCAAATATAGAGGTTTTTCTGTATATGTTAATGTTTCATCTGGAATCGGGTAACATCTGACTGTCTTTTTAATTCGCTTTGACCACTTACTGGAATTTTGGGACAATTACCAGCTCCATTATGATCCTTGTTACTGGATTAGAAAATGTCCATCTTAGTGACTAAAGTAGAACCTGTATATCTGAATACCTCTCTAATCAGAACATTACTCTGTCCCATTTTTGATCTTGAATAGGTTACGTCACTCTAGTGACAATATCGCCTTTTCTCTGATTAGAGTAAATTGTCTTTCACTATTTTGGCACAACATCATTACATACACACACGTAGTTTAATATATTCTCTATCTACTTTTTGTAATAATTATATCTACTGGGAGATGTTGGATATGAAATATTTCCATAAATCACTTAAACAGAATATGGCTCAATGTATCTTTATTTTCCATTGACACATTTATAAAAAAAATTCTTGTTTTGTTGATCGTCCAATTTTCTGAAACTTGCGTCATAGATATGAGCTTCTCTGTTAGATGGCATTTTGACTGTCTATAGATAAATGAACTCTTTCGATAATAAATAAATAAAACTCACAATCAACCAGTTGATTGGTTGATTGTTTAGTGAAGGTATCTTTCTAATCACAATTTTATTATCCTCAAGCTCAGAGGCTAAAGACAAATATTCTAAAAAACAAACATTCTACAAGAAAACATTTTGTAGACAAACATTCCAAACCCAGCACTCCTTCTGAGACGCTAAGCCAAACTTTTATTAAGGGTTCATATTTGTTGATTTGTTTTTTTCATTTATCAGTTGATCTTTAGCTACGGGTGATGCTCTGGGTGACCAATTTGCGGCTTTGATACTGTTGGTACAGCTAAGGGAAATGTCAAAATAATTCACCTTTAATGTCGAGGCTGTTTTCTTAACCAGAATGACATTTTGTGATTTTAAATATTTATAAGCAAACTATGTTGCCCTCCTAGGAGCTGATGTATGAATGGCATGAATGAAATATGCAAAACTGCACGTACATTTGTAAATCCCAAAAATATTTGTCTAAAAAAGTAACACTATATTACATTCAGATTATTTGTAGGGTTAAAACTTTTGTTGATTTTCTTGCTCTGCAGTTCTCTCTAGTGTTTGTTTATTGTACAATATTTGTATGGAAATGCCACTTAAGAATGAATTCATTTGATCCAATTGGGCATGATTTGAGTAGCGAGCGCTATCAAAGCTTCTTGATGTCAAGGACTGCTTTTCCACAACAGCCACTTGATGTCGCACCATTTGATGTCATACCAATTCTAACTTCACCATGCCAGTTCGACCCAATTTAGATTTTACTCATTTACGTGTTGATATATCCTGTTTCCGAAAAAGCATGTTAGCATGTTAAAAGGGGTGGGTGTACATGTATTGTGTTAATTTTATTCATGATTTTTTTCTACATTTGATAAGATTGCCTCTCACAAACTTTTTCGGGTAACCAAAAATATTTTGACTCTGGACAACCTTTTCTCTATGCCTGTATTCAAATGACTTAAGCACTTTAAGAGCCAAAATTCCTTTATGAAAGATATTAAGTTCTGCAGAGGCGTTAAATTGCATTTTTGAGCAGATAGAAATATATCATTGAAATTGATCTCATTTTTGTTGACACAACATTATAACAGAATTAAATACATTCAGAAAATGATTGAGACACTCATGAATTGATTAAGAAATCTTTTTTTGATATTAATAATGTCCTTTTGAAAGGCCTAAAGGCGAAGTTCTTATTTTTTCGAATAATTATATACAGTACAGGGTATACTAGGGTACATATATAAAAGAAACATTCATTGTGAATTCTGTGTGTTATTTTATTCAAATAATATATGTTAGAGTCATATTCTCACGCTCTCTTCGGTCCCTGTTAAGAATAAAGGTCATAAAAATGTAATGGTATCAGATTTTCATCTTAATAACATTTTAGATCATAAATACATGTACAATATACTCATAAAAATAAAACATGTACATCCATGCGTAATGATAAATCTTAGGAGTTTGAAGAGCAGATCTAAGAGAACTATAGTCATCGAGATAGTTCTCCCCTTCGAAGTATTTACTTGCCTAATTGAGTAAAAGGTTTCAAAAATGTAACAAGGTCCATGCAAAAAAATGATAATATTATCATCTCAATAATACATGTTCATTTTGCCAGGTTTTAGTGTACATTTAATATATTTGATGCTCAATAAACAACTCGAAATATAGATGAAGCATTGGTTTCACTTCTAAAACAAATTGCAAAAATTAACCTATTACAGTGTTCTCCCCAGGAATTTTTCTCAAGTGGGTACGAAATTCTCAGTTTCACAATTCAGTCCAAAATTGGTCAAAATATGACTATTTTACATGATTTTTCTTATTTTCAAGTGGGTGCAAATGAAATCTCAGGTGCCTGCAAGCCTGTTTTTAAAATCTCAGGTGGATGTTGCGCCTACTTGTTTTAATCCTGGTGAGATCACTGAATTAGGTTGAAATATTCGTTCCTTTATTTCAATCAATATACTGTATATGTTAACTGTCATACATATTTGTATAACATTTATATTGGAGAAAATATGATCTTAATCTTACACCTTTCGTGATCGCATTGTCATTAATTTCATTAATTGTACTTTAGAAGGTCTAGTTATGTCATATATATATATCTTTTATTGACTCTTTAGATGTCATGACCTGACATATTAGTCATTACAAAATGAAATTTCACAAAACTACACTACACTACACTAATATATACAATTTATACAAAAAACTTGTTATTTACATATGTTATAATATACTTTAGGTGTGATGCATCCAAAATGTTAATCTCCAGGCAAGTTTAAGTTTTTGAATGAAATATCAAAGTTCATTAATTGTACTTTAAGTAGGCCTAGTTATGTCATACCAAAGTAGAACATACATAAATCAGTCATGCAAACACAGTTGACGTTCAATGATGATGTATCCATTATCATATCAGTCTCATGATATCTCATCTCTGATTTCATACATTATTTCCTAGAATTGTTCAGATTCAGTTTCTAGCCCTATAAGCACATGCAGTGTGAGTTATAGTGAGAAATTTGAGCTTGTTGGTTAATTACGTCAGTCGAACTAAGTAGCAAGTGATCTGTCATTGTTCAGATAAAGACAATAGGTTGGATGATTACATGATAACTATATGGGATTACGATCTGCTTGGGTGTAGATTACTTGATGGCTTTATCATTAGTTTACTGGCTGTCAGAGTGGCTAACTTGATAACTTTATGTACATTTATCGGTTGCTGCATATGTTTGCTGGTCCATAGCATATAATGACTGGTCCATATCATACACTTGCTGGTCCATATAACACATATAACAAAGTTCAGCACAGGGGCTTGAAGTTTCTATCAAATTGTTACACTCTTCTGCTCTTAAACCATTTATATTTTGTATATTTTAAATTTTTTTCTTTTTCTAACAGTTTCTTTTTATGCGTTCATATTATGTTATGTAATTTTGTTGCACATAATCGTGTATTCTGTAGTGAAATGTTCTACATGATCATGTATTCTGTAGTGTAAAGTTTCATATGATTATGTATTCTGTAGTTTAATATTCTACAAAATTGTGTATTATGTAGTGTACTGTAATGTCCTACATGACAGTATTTTCTGTAGTGTAATATCCTACATGATTGTGTATTCTGTAGTGTAATATTCAACACAATTGTGTATTATGTAGTGTAGTGTAATGTAATGTCCTACATGACAGTATATTCTGTAGTGTAATGTCCTACATGATTGTGTATTCTGCAGTGTAATGTCCTTCATGATTGTGTATTCTGTAGTTTAATGTCCTACATGAGAGTGTATTCTGTAGTGTAATGTTCAACATGATTGTGTATTCCAGCAACAAGAGCAGGACCCTACTAACCTTTACATTGCAAATCTACCCGTACATATGTCAGAAAATGATTTGGAAAGTATGTTCTCTCCATTTGGTCAGGTAAGTCGGTTTAACATATGTTATACAAGTGGTGATCAATATATTCTGATAAAAATGCTCTCATTTTGTGATTTTTTCACATATCAGAACATGTAGATTATGTAATTTCTCATACAGTACTAAAATATTATGGCTATATCTTAAATCAATTTTGAGATAAGGTTGCCATGGTAACCTGTATTTAAGAAAAAATCACAAAAATTAGAGCGTTTTATCAGAATATATGGATCGCCCCTTGCACATAACAGTTATTTATTTATTGGCTACATCAAGCTCTATATTCATGAGCAAGTACTACTGAGTACTAAAAGTGTATATCAAATAAAATTAAAATAACTAATGGGTATTTTTTTCATTTATTATTATACAAATTCAAAAGTTAGCATGTCATATCCTGAATAGCACAGCATCTCACACAGCATAGTAATGCATATTTTTTATAACAGCATTTCTATAATTATACATTAAAGGCACCATGCAATGTTGATATTGGGGCTGTCAACTGACTTTTAATACTTGTGTATTTCTAGTTCAGTCAAGATTTGTATTTCTTTCTATAAATGTTTTGTATAACTTTTTGTATACTTCCACTTTGCCCATTATATTAAAATACCCGCATTAACATATTTGCTCTCTGAATATATGTCCAACCCTCAGGGGTTTTGCTAGAATTTTTCACAACAGGCTAAATAAATGAAAACAACGGGCAAAATTAATAGAAATCATAAATTCAACATAGAAAAGTCCCTTGAAACAACAGGCAGTTTTGTGAAAACAACCGGTTAAAATCGCATGTTGCCTGCTGCTAATGAAATCCCTGAACCCTAGAGAATGTCCTTTTTAGGAAACTCATGATAAGAGGCAAGTCCTGTCCTGTAAATAATAGAAAGCCCTGTTTATGATAGAAAGTTCTCTTTTTGATAGAAAATCTTGTTGAGGAGAGAATGTACCAGGAGAAAGTCCTTCAGAAAGATTCAGAAAGTCCTGTTAAGGAGAAAACCAAGCCTTTTTTGAGAGATAAAATCCTGTGTTAGGAAAGATGGCGAAAGTCATGTTAATGAAAAAATCTATTAAGACAGATGATTATTTAATGTTATCCTTGTTTATTTCAGGTGATATCTACTAGAATTCTAAGGGATAACAATGGCATCAGTAGGGGAGTTGGTTTCTGTAGGATGGAGAGCAAAGAAAAATGCGAACAAATTATTAACCATTTTAACGGAAAACATATACCAGGTAAGTAAATGTTATATTCTATAGTTAATGTGAAATTCATAGGATATGTCAAAATAAAAAAATGCTATTTTGTAACCAGTGGAAAATATCATATTTTGGCGAATTCATTTGCTTGTTAACCAAGCTTTTACAACACAAAATGTCTGGTTTGAAAATAATTTATTTCTTAGTTAATAGTATATTCATAAGATATCAAGTCCAAATATAAATGGTATTATTGTAGTCAGTGAAAAAGTATATTTTGGCAAATTCATAAAATACAGCTTTTAACAATGAGATGTGCCATTTTATCATTTTAACAATGAGATGCGCCACTTTATCTGATGCCTCTGGCTTGTGCAGATATTATATCCATTTGTAGATAAAAATCATATCACAATATATAATCATAAGATACCCTCTATATCTGGGCCTATCTGGGAGATAAGTGAATTTAGGAAATGTTTTAATGGTTTATATTGTTCAGGAATATTTCAATCTCCAAATTGCTTTGTCTTGTTGAGTATACCAGTAAATCAAATCAATGGAAAGAAAAGGGGGCATATTTGACAAAGAAAAGGGGGCATATTTGACTGGGACATGTAGCAATTAAGTCTCCTCTGCTTGTTTATAATCATTTTTTGTTTTGAAAGAACATTTCATTAGTGTCGTAGGTAGGTGTCGATGATTTTAATGTGATAATTAATCTTCTCAGCGGGGATTTTGGTTTTTGTGCAGGTGGACTTGTTTACACGAAAAGCCTCTTTCTGTCATTTGAAGTGGGATGTGACAATTAAAATATCATATTGTATCTAACAATAGTTATCGTTTTATTTATAAGGCGGAAATTCATACGCCTTTGTAATCTAAACATTGTCTATATAAGTGACAGAGATTCAGATTCTGGATATGTTTGAGATCTAAAAAGAAGTCTGAGACACCTAACATGGGGAGATGTCTGAGACACCAAGAGCTTTCTCTCATTTATGATCAGTTGGAATATAAATCAAGAAGTGAAGTATGCCAACAGAGACATTCAGGTAAGTCAATCGCAAAAATAACATATTTATTATTTTATTTTTAGGATGGAAGGAACAGCTTCTAGTAAAGTTCGCTGATGGCGGAAACAAGAAAAAGAACCAATACCAACAAAGAAACGTGTGGACAGATAGGGGAGACAATATTCCATTAGCATATGAACAGACTCAAGTGGCCCAAAACGGTTATGGAAGGTAAATTGTATTTCTATGAAAATTTTCATAATCAGATATTTTTTAGAATAATTGTTGCATTTGGTATTCTTCTTAAAACCTTTGTTTCCAATTTGATTTCTTTGATTTTCTATTTATTAACAATTAATTTTCATAATCAGATGTTTTTCTTTGATATTCTTTCAAAAACCTTTGCTTTCAAATTGATTTTTTTAAATAACTGGTTTTGTCATTCAGTGTTTATATTAAATATTATATTTACTATTTAAGACTTCACAGTGGCTTCGGTAACCAAGATGTTGATGTATTTGATACATATCTCATCGTGTTATTTTGAAATTGTCCCATTCACAATTTGAACATCTGATTTTATGTATATGATAATGAAATAAAACTTCAGAACCATCAAAAAATAAAAAATTATCCTCTTCTAGTTATAGTGTTGCCCAGTCTATGATGACCCAAGGCATGATGGCTCCAAGATATTCCGTATCAACGACCCCCGTAACAAACTACCAAGTGCCGTCAGGGGCTTCCTGGATGCAGCCGACTCCATATATGATTCCACAGCAAACTATGTCTGTAAGTACCCTTGACTTTTGAGCTAGTAGATCAGTAGTTATAACTACCCTTTAACTAAACCGGATCATATTAGCCTATGAGCTAGTATGAGACTCTGATAAATTAAGAACAAACTATTTTTTAGTTCTGTGTTTAACCAATCAGAGAGCACCTCGGCTTACATAGAGAACCATCTTTGGGAGACATTTCGCAGACTGATTGGTCTATCAAGTTTGTTGGTTTTACGTAATGCATGTTGAGTATTTTCATGTAATATTCATGATTTCAATCACCAATATTTAATCAAATACTAAAATAGGCAGTTATTCAAAATTTTATCTTGATAATTAGAAAATAATAAAAAATACATAGTTCAAAATCAAAATATTTTCCTAAAATTATGCTGAAACAACATTTTCCAAAATTATTTTTTCAATGTTTTCCAAAAGTGCAGAACTGCCTTAAGTGAGTGATTTTTTTAGATTTGAAAGAAATTGACAATATAAATATAGGATATTTCATCTTTTAAATGTACTTTGTTCATTCCTGTTCACTGAGCATTTAATCATGAATACAAAATACATGTATTAAAAAAGATCATAAGTTTGATAAGTTAAAGTGTTTTTGAAAAGTTGAATAACCAACTAATAGTACATTTGCATAACAAGACAAAGTTCAGATAAATTTGCCAAGATCATCCTGGGTCCAAGGGTATTTCACTTCTTTCCATACGAATTGAGTAATAAATGAAGTCCTTTGAATGAAATATGTGCCAAGATAAACCCTGAACATTTATCAATTATGTAATGTCTCATCCTTAACCGCATCATTTCACAGTTTAAGTACACTCCTGAACATATGTTTATGAAATAATTATGTAACAATCATCCCATAAATAAACATTTTTATTTATTATTTTAATTGTTGATTCACTCCCAAGGAAAGTCATATCTTTTCAAACATATAAAAAGTATACAAATTATTACAAAGCATTCATGCAAAATGTTTGGATGACCCTTAAACACTAATATTACGGTTTCCTAGGTGATGCCTTCTTCTGTCCATCCCAGCCAGCACCAAATGGATCCCAACAGTGTCATGCCAAATCTAGCACAGCAAATGGGCCAATTACAGCTACAAAACGCAGGAGCATCGGTAGGGGAAGAACACCTTCAGTAGTTACATACACCACTTCAAAGCATATACGAGGGTTCACCAAAAAGTTTCAGTTTTAGATTAGGGACTGAATTCGTTGGTTTAGTCTAGTCTTCGAAATCAGGCCCATTTTAGTCAGTTTTGTGATGTTTTAGAATAAGGTTACTGTAGTTGGGATGCTTCGTTGAAATAGTGCTTTCTGAAAAGTTTTTGGTTGCCCTCGTATATTTGATAGTTTTGTGACTTGAATTACACATGAAGGATGTTGACCCATATTTATGGGTTCATGACCCATATTTATGGGTTCATGTATTTGAACATCTGGAATTTATGATAAAATTAGGAGGCAGTTTTTGAAAATATTAGCCTAAATCTAATGTAGTTTACACTTGCATGCATGATGTTATCATTCTTACACAATTACCAAGATAAACACTCGAGTGAAAGCTGAGAAGTGAAACGAACAATTTATGTTCCATCTCCCTGAAGCCAGTGTATTATTTTGGAGTTATAGGTATTGGGATTTGGAACATAAATTTTGTTAAAAAGTATAAAATCGAGATAAACTAAATGTTGAATATTATGAAGCATATTAGTTTTCACCCGTGTACATCCATATAACAAGATTGAATGGTGCTAAAGGCGGGAACACAAATAATGAAATATTCAAATTTTAAACACACTATATTCTGTACATAGTCCGACGTATAACCATATATAGACAAAGGGGGTTGAATATGAGGGGAGTTGCAATGATAATAAAACACATGTTAAAGGAGATCGAGAGAGCACACATTGAGTCGATAGGTTGGATGGATTGCAGTTAAAAACATTATTATTATTTAAAAATCATAACACCCACTTAGTTATATCGTCATATTTAGCATATTTTTTACCAAGTTCATTATAATAATGTCACTCATTTAATGTTATTAAAATTATAGAACAAACTTTACTATTATGAATTAATTATAACAAATTTATTAATTGATTTAAGTTTACAGTGGAATTCAGATCCTTTATCCACAATATTGTAATCAAAACTGGGGGCTATAAACGTTTTCTGATATATCACATCTCTCCGTTATCGCACATTTATATCACAAAGACAATTGTAGACGCTTTGTTTTTAGCCAAATTGGGTGTTTATAATTACAGCATTTGCAGTAGCCTGACCTTCTGACCTCTCTTATAAAGTATAGTCCATGGGTCCATAAATGAACCGGAGGAAAAATACATTTCTGGCTGATTTATGGCGGTACATACCTGTAGAAAAACAATTAGTCATTTTTTACATTTTTTGTCAAATATTATCACAAACATTGACTATTCGTTTTATGAAACATTGACTATTCATTATAGCAAACATTGACTATTTATTCATGTGCTAATTTCTGGATTGTTAGAATATACATGTATATGTAGTTTACATTTTCTGAAGGTGTGGAACAATCGAACGTCTCTATGAGGCTGAATTGAATATTAACCTTCATGTTCCTTATTTATCCATTTTTGATGTACACAGTAAAACCTGTCAAATCCAAACACTACTGGGAATGTTTTTAAATGTCCGGATTAGCAGGTGTATACTTTAATGTTCTTTGATATGGTAATTAACAGCAGATTACGTAGGTGTTTGGAAATGCAAGTTTTACTGTATAGTGAATCAGATATATTAGAACATGGCTGTGATGTGAAACTGGCATTAGAAATTCTAATGAAGACAATATCTCTTATTTATTAGTTATTACCATGTAATGTGTACTGTTATATGCGGTTCTGTACTAGAGTACTGTACTGCCATGTAAGAAGTGCACTGTTGTATGCAGTACTGTACTAGGATACTGTACTACCATGTAAGAAGTGTATTGTTGTATACGGTACTGTACTAGAGTACTGTACTACCATGTAAGAAGTGTATTGTTGTATGTGGTACTGTACTAGAGTACTGTACTACCATGTAAGAAGTCTACTGCTATATGCGGTATTGTACTAGAATATACTGGACCTTTGTAAAGTTTTTTGAGCATTTTTGAAATGTACCCACAAATACTACTATAACTACACTACTATTCAAGTTAAGGTTGTTTTCTATACTGTGTATTCCTATTTATGTTGATATGCTTCAATTACAGAACTATAGTCTTATTATTCTTAAATTAATAATATATGAATTATTTTTGTACTTTTCCCTATATAATGTTATGTACCATTAGAAAGTGTACAGACTTGATATAACATACATGTATTTATAGTAGCTGTCATTGTTAGCCGTTATGAAAATATGATATTGTAAATTTTGAAATATGTTTTATGGAGATATAAATTCAGTTTTAGTTTATTTGAGTTGATGAGTCTTCCAGTTTGTTGTATTTAGTAATCAACTCAAAAAGATTTGTGAAAGCCGAAAGACTGTGGCAAGGAAAGAAGGGATCGATAGAAGGTTTTTGGGTGAGAAAATGATATAAAAATATTTAGCGGTGGTGGGTTGTATAATCAAATATATATGTTCAATATATTTATGTACCACAATTACACTAGGTTAGGACTAAGCCATGATGGAATTTGTACATAGAACAAACAATATGTTATAAATTTGGCACATTATATATGGACTATAATAACACTATGTTAGGGAGGTTTAATCACTATGTAAATTAAGATTCGAGAATTGTTGAATTTTATTCGAGTACGTATGTATATCTACCATGTCTAACCTACAATATTTGTTGACTATATTCGTTACATGTTGAACCACAAAAACCTAGCTGTATAGCAAATAAAATTTGTTGAACAAAAATTGGAGTTTGTATATTAAGCAAAGTTGGGCTTAGAATTTGGAGAGAGTTACATCAAATTGTGTTGCTGGAGAGAATGGATTACATAATGGATTGATTTCTATGGCGATCATGTATAGAGCTTGATAGAGTTGGACTCCTCAGTGTTATGCAGAATGGTCTACTGATCCAGAAAGAAACAATTTTGAAGATTTCAACGCCTGCAGGTACAGACAATGTCAGCTTATATGGTGGTGGATTGCTTGTCTCATATCACATCCCATATTGCATGATCACATTAATTAGGCCAGGGATATAACCATAGAGGCATGTATAGGTGCTCTAAGACACCTGGATATGTTTGAGACATGGAAAGAAGTCTGAGACACCTTATACAGTTTGAAACATTGGAAGATGTCTGAGACACCTAGCATTTTCTCTCATTCCACATTTTCCCTGTTCTTATATCAGGCTGCCTAGCCATATGGTTAAGGTCATTTAATACTCATGAGGTCAAGGTCATTTCAAGGTCAGACTACACTACTGTATTGCTGTAAAGCATCCTAACATTATTGATATGATAGAAAGATCAGAAATCTTGGTGGAATCAAATCATCTTGAACAACATGTATTCCAACTGCTGATCTCTGTGTAAAAGTAATTTGTGCTCCAATTATGGTCTCTCTCATTGACTTTTGGGTAAACTCAATCAAGAAGGAGGACCATCCTTCCTGGGGTAATAATTCCTTCTACACAGGTATGTCTCCTCTGTACCTTCAAACCTGGCACAACTGATCTTAGAATTTCATAGATTTCTTTTCAATTCACTAACGCAATATTTTATCATAACTTGTTATCGCTGAAACTCCCTACGCTTTATTACCTCTCCCCTACCATCTGTTTTGCCACGGTTTTTTAAACACATTTCAACCTACGCTATTACTGTGGATCATAAACAAGGGATGTGTTGGACTTACTGAACTAGTTAGGATTATAATTGAACTTGTTATTTGATCTACTGATACTCTATATGTATGTCAACTGCACCTTGTGTTAAAACCATCCTGCTCTAATTTCTAGCGATTGTTTATAATATAACATAAGGGTTACTAGGTTACTATATATAACGCATAGATGTGATTTGCTTGTATTATTTAATTAAGGACTTGATGGTATGTAGTTATTAATCTGTGTAGCTTATATATGTTTCACGTCTGCCGGTCATTTATTATTAAAATATTTGGTAAAAGTTGTTTGTCTCATTATCTAATTATATCTAAAAGTAGATAAGTAATTTTGAACATTGAAAAGTGTTCTAAAATGTTCATCTACATTAAAGTAGGATTGTAAAGATTGTTAAGACTAAAAAATTAGCTTGTAGACATATATATTTATAATGACACATACCTTTTGCACTTACCATGTAGGTGATGGACCCAAAAATACAGGGTGATTTATTATGATAAATATTTAACGTATATATACAGGGGTGTCCCAAAAATAATTTTACAAATATCATCTTCATATTTTTTGAACATCTTGTTCATCATCTTTTTGTATTTATAAATGGAAATGATAGGGTGTCACCCTGTATATTTAGCAATTGGAAAGTTGAGTTAAGACTCTGCATAGTTACATAAAACTGTCTGCAAATATTATGAAATAATAGTTTTATTTCACATTCCAACAGATGGAAATATATATAGAACACTGGAAAAATAAATCTTGCAAAAATATAATATAACATTTTGATTTAGCGATAAATACAGGGTGATCCATAAAAATATTACCATACAAATTTTTGGACCACCCTGTATATGTGATATATTAAAATACTACTAAACCCATTGTATGAGAGTCTTGTAATTATGTGAAAATATCTTTAAGCGTATATATCCATTTCAGTATGTATCTGGGCCACATGGAACATACACTCAGATGACATACCCACAGACCCAAGGGACACCCGTCATGCCTGCGACAGTTGTTGATGAGCAGCATACCAATGGTGGAGTCCCCGAGGACCAGCAACACCACTACTCCAACCCATATCCACAACAAGTTTCGGCTGCCAGTAAATAGAGCCAGCCCAACTGATTCTTGGTCCAGGTAGATTGATATAAAAGATTATATTATAGGAGGACTAATAGAATGGATAATGACCAACTACTAACCATATGTTATTTATGAACTATAAATCTAAGTTTGATTGAAATCAAGATTCTACCAGATATTCTCCATTGTTTAGACCAAAGTATTTATTCTGAATCTCTCATATGAAACGCATGATAATGTCAGCAGTATTTAATCTGATAGGTTCATAGATCGTCACCTATGCTGGACCAATCAGCTAACAGATATCCATAGCTTATAAGTTTGTCATTTTAAAAGGAAGAAATTGTGTAATGCAAAATTTCTCATGGGTTTGTCTGTTTATTATCGGTTTGTCTACAGTGTGTTATGGGTTTGTCCAAAGCGTATTGTGGGTTTTTCTGTGTATTATGGGTTTTTCTGTGTAATATGGGTTTTCTGTCTATTTTCAGGCCTTTACAGCCCATAATGTACCAAGCAGTTAACAAACATGTAGAGACTAATCTTTGAGATATAGGTGGCGCTAGAAAAATAAACACAAGGGGAACAAACCAGAAATGTGTACAAAATCAAGATGGAGTTCATTTTAGTGGAATATGGGAGTACATTGATTTATTTACAAGAGGAGAGTCGGGAAATTTGAGTCTTCAATACGTTGGAACGTGCAGTTTCCAAAAAATGTGGTGCCAATTACAACTCTAAAGGGGAGCTATACTTACCCTGATTTCAATTGTTGAAGCATAAGTTTATACAGAGAATTGTTATATGTCAGACGTCACATGTGCACCCATAAATAGAACTCGATAAATTCACGTTTTTTGGGCCGTCTTTAAAAAAATTCCAAAAAGTTACCAATAATTTTCCAACAATTTAGCGACAATCTAGGTTGTTTCCAAATGGAGATGTATTTTGCGCAAAAAGTGTGACTCTTGATATCTTATTTATGGGTAACAACGTCTCTTGTTGCGCCAGATTCCTAACGTGATAAATTTTAGTCACGGGGCTTCAGGTTTTATATTTAATCACATTGGTTGTTATGTTCTTGTTCAATTGTTAGACAGTTTTCATTCATACATTCTGTATAGCTGCTAATTATTAATATTCATACAAACAGCAATTCATTTTTATTATTCAATACTATAATTAATGGACCTTCATATATTTGTTTTTAAAACCGTGAAATGAGATTATTTTTTGTCTATTTTAATCAGTCCGTACGTATTGTAGTTGCATATAACCAATGATATCACACAGATTATTCAGTTTATTTTGAAAAAGAGGCTATTTTTATGAGTGGTATATAACCTCTAATTGTACAGCGGAGAGAGCCCCTGCCATTTGGGCAATATTTATCCATATCGCCCACCGGGCAATATTTATCAATACCACCCACTGGGTGATATTTATGAAATATGAACTGAAGATTCTCGATTGACTATAGCCCCT